ACAAATCAAAAAATGAGCCGGGCGTGGTAGCGCGCGCCTGTAGTTCCAGCTACTTGGAAGGCTGAGGCGGAAGGATCGCCGGAGCCCGGCAGGTCGAGGCTGCGGTGGCTGGAAGCGGCCACTGCACTCCAGTCTGGGCGACAGAGTGAGACTCCAACTCAAAAAAAATAAAAAATAAAATAAATGAAAAATTAGCCAGGCATGGTAGCACGTGCCTGTAGTTCCGGCTACTTGGAAGGCTGAGGTGGAAGGATCGCCGGAGCCCAGCGGGTTGACACTGGGGTGGTGGTGAGTGTGCCACTGCACTCCAGCCTGGGCGATGGAGTGAGACCGCATCTAAAATATAAGTTCTTCAGCATAAATGTAAATAACGAAGGCATTTTGTTGAGGTTTTCTTCATTTCAAGACTGATGTGAAGCCGTCCACCTTGCATATTTAATCCTTTTATACATCTCAGCACTGTTCTTAGATATCTAAATTTTCCTTTCCACTCATCTCTCCCATACCTAAGTATTCTACCCTTATTTCTAAAGATAGGTCATTATATTTCTTTTTAAATATTTCATATTTGTATAGCACTTACATTTTCAAAGCACTTGTACCAACTATCTCATTTATCTCTCAACTTTCTTCTGAAGCATGTGGCATAAATGATAAACCATTTAGCAAGTTGGAGCAGAACACGAAACAATTTAGTTCAGATCCCAGGAGTATTAAGTGATGGAAGCACAAGTTGGGTCCAGCTAATGATCCCACATTGTGGTCTATGCCCTGACCACCCGTGACTTTGTAGACCTCTGCTTTATATTTCCACAGTTCCATTTTGTATTACTTATATTCTCAGTTCTGCTTTACCCTGCTATCCAGTTGAAGATTTATTGTCTCATTAGATGTCAGCCTCCCTAATCTTATGTAAGGTGATAGGCAGTTTTATAAGACTTCTTACTATTTCCTAATTAGTGTGGTTTTTATTTCTACCAGGACATGAATTGGTAGGATTGTGATCATTCTTGTGATGAATTCAGTAACAAGTCCACCAGGGATAATACCCTGGTGGGGAACTTACACTAGGCCTGCTTACCAAACAAAATGTTCTAATACTAATAAAATACTGACATGCAAAGCCCTTGGCAATCTTCACTTAGCCAGCTACCAACCATGTGTCAGCCACACAATATCTAACCTATAAAAAGCCAGCTTTAAATCTCATGTTATTAGACTATATATCCACTGTTCTGGATTGCTGCAGTCTTCTACAAATCACCAGGTCACTCCCCTTATTTCTTGACATTGTTATATTCTGGCTCACTATCACTCTACAATGCTACTTCTTTCATAATTCTTGGCAATGTCACCATACACATGGATCAGTAGTTTCCAAAGTATGGTCTCTGGATCACGCAGTATTAGCATCAACAGGGAATTTAGAAATGAAAATTACCAGGCTCTATTCCAAAAACTGTCACAATTTCTCACAGTCTGTG